AAAGGAAAAAATTTTAAAGGTGTAAAGTAAAAAAAGGTTTTTTTTTTTTTTTTTTTTTTTGAGAGGTTTCACTATAGGGCGCGTGTGCTCGCCAGACAGACAGAGAGAGAAATAGAGACAGAAAGCAAGGAATCACCCCTCAGGGGGGACGGTCGCCACAATCCCTTCTCCTCCATTCTCCTCCTGGGATCCTGGGCACGCACGCACACGTGCCCAGCGTGAGTTTTAAGCCACCAGGTCCGGCGGGACGCAAATCGCGGTCGACTACGTGGGAGTCCAGTGACGTAGCCATTATGCTAACTGCTGGTTCCAGTGAAAAGCAGTTTCAACCAAGAATACTATACCCGGCAAGATTATCCTTCTTTCAGGAAGAAAAGATAAAAACATTTTCAAATAAACAAAACCTGAAAAAATTTACCAACACCAGACCAGCTCTCCAAGAAGTTCTGAAAGGAGTGCTCTACCAGGAAAACTAAAGACACACATACAGAAATAAGAAAACAAAAAGCAACCAAGAAAATGACCAACTTAATACTAGGGAAAAGAAATGATCAATTAATAACATTGAATGTTAACTTCTAAGATTTAAATAGAGAGATTAGATCACAGTAACACTGCAAATTGAGTAGAAGAGAGATTAATTACCTAAGACTGAACTGAGGAAATAGGAATGTATGACTTTTAAGTAAAACATTACTGTTTTTTTTTTCTTACTATGCTTCGTTTTCCCAATTTAAGAATCTTGCTTTCTTTTGAGCTACTGATAGGTTTAGCAATTTGTTAAAATGGTTTTTTCTTCTTGTTTGTTTGTTTCTTTAAATGGAAACATAAACTTTTCTCCTTTCCTGATCCCTCTGGAATTGAAAAATATTTGTGAGTTTTCTTATTTTGTGGCAGAATGGTTATTTGCGTAAGTTCACTAATACCTGTTGCTTTGAATCAGAAATTGGAAATACTCGTTATTGGACAGGGCTTCAAATTGGAAATACTCGTTATTGGACAGGGCTTCAACTAGAATGTCTTATCTGAAGATTAAACCAGGAAACTATGGAACTAAGGTAGATCTCAAGTAAGCCAACAGAAGCTCTTGGAAAGATGGCCTGGCACCATGAACAGTTCTGCCGGGTCGAGAGGATTAGAGAATCTATATGAAAGAATTCGTACCATAAAATAACTTGGACTTTTCCAGTCCAGTATTGCAATCAGTAGAGATTGGAAAAGAGCAGCCACAGCCAGAGGTTTATCTTGAGGAAGACTTTGAAGGAAGAAAGAGACTGATCTTTGCTAGCAGATGGTATATCACAGAATACTTGGTAGGCAGGGCTGAATTGAGAAGGCTCATGTGTGAATTGTGCGCTGGGTGTTTGCTTTTCAACAGTTTGAGTGATTAACATGTAAATATTTTCTCAAAAATATTTAAAACCATACTGTCTCTGTCACAGAGTCACAAACAAAATCATAACAAATAGTTTGGTAATTATCTTTAAATTCAGTTTCTTGAAATTTTGAAAGTTGTTTATCAACTGTCAAGAACTATGGAGTATGAACAAAAATTTTTTGATATGTAAAGTTTTGTGGGAAAATGTAAAAGTAAATAAATATATGTAAAAATAGATAAATAAATAAATAAACTATGGAGTATGAACAAAAATTTTTTGATATGTAAAGTTTTGTGGGAAAATGTAAAAGTAAATAAATATATGTAAAAATAGATAAATAAATAAATAACTGCAAAGTACTGACAAAAGAATAAAATACATTTTAAGTAAATGAAGAGATATAACGTTTCCACATTGGAAGAAACAGTACAGCTAGCATGCCAGTTCTCCACAAAATGATCCCCAGACCAAGCATGCAGACATAGCTCAGAGAAATGGCAGTTCAGCTTCTGATCACCACAATAAAGAAAAAACTGCCATAAGGGAATCACACACATTTATCTTCCAGTGCATGTAAAATTGATATTTGACCCAGTCCAGGTAATGTTGACTGGTTGACACTGATACTGGGCAAGTCAAAGCCATATGGAGTCCCAGGTTCAATTCCCAGCCCACCCTAAAAGATAGAGGTTCAG